GGCCATTCCAGCCCTCCCAGCCCACCCTAAGAAGGTGGTGCAATCTGTTATCCTCCCGAAACCCGCCACCCACGCGCTCCTATACACCCCTGCAACGACACGCATCCTCGCCGGTCTAATCTCGGACTTCCTGGTCTCCAACGTCACCGGTCGTCTTGACCAGGCCTGGCAGCTGCAGTTCCTCACCCAGGATGGAAAATGGGACGTCAAGAACCTGGAAAAGTGGCAAAAGGTGGCTCCCGTGTCGGAGCCCATCGGCGGGATATTCCGCGCGCTCAAGACGCTCCGCGAGGTCGACGAGACGCACAGTCCCAAGGAGTTTGTGCGGAATTGGGGCAGCACCGTCAAGGATATCATCGACATCTCGCACGACAACCCCGTCTACGACCCCAAGGGCCTGGAGGAGGGCGGAATCCGCTACCACAAGTTCCCGACCGTGTCCAAGGTGCCACCGACGGACAGGGAGATCGAGGGCTTCATCAAGCTGGTGGATGAGATCCGGGCCGACCAGAAGGAGCGGGCGGCCAGGGAGAAGTGGGAGGACGGGTTCGCGGTCGGCGTCCACTGCCACTACGGCTTCAACCGCACGGGGTACTTTATCGTCTGTTACCTTGTCGAGCGGGAGGAGTATCGGGTGAATGAGGCGATCGAGCACTTCGCGAAGCAGAGGCCCAAGGGTATCAAGCACGAGCATTTCAGGGCTCGGCTGTGCGTACGGTATGATGGAGCTAAAGTCAAGGTGGTGAACGGGGAGTGATAATGCGTCGCTCTGTTCTTTTCTTCTTCTTTTCTTTCTGATGTTCATGTTCCGGGTTTGTTTTGTCTGATACCTGAGATGTCTCCTGTTTATTTCCGTGGCTTTGATTGAAGGACGAGCGCGATCTCGGGGACCTTTCTTTTTTGAGCGGTGTTACTTGGATTATGGGGACCTGTTTGATTGCGCCGGCTACGGGGCTGTGGAGGGTTCAGGCGCTTCAGTGGTTGTCGGTATTACCTAGGGTTATACTTGTTTTTCAAAGTTCTTCTTCTGCTTCCGGGTTTCTATATAGCTTCGGGGCTATTTATTCTAGGTTGTTTATTTTCTTGGCGATGAATATACCATGTCCACCGCTGGTGTTGCTTATGTTGCTTCCTGCTGTGAATATAGATGGGCCTAGGCATTCTTTAGAGGCGGGAAAGGATTGGCGGCTTGTAATCATCTGACGGTCTGCATCATCACAGCTCTCCCCGACTTGCCAGATACGCAGCGCCTGAATCCGCCCAGATCTCGTACTTGTCAACTTTCAACTCGTCGTCAAAGGCAAGCACGTAGGTAAAGACTTCGTCCCAACTCTGCCCGGTGCTCGTCCACGTGAACACGGCCGCGCCGCGCACCGACACCTTGCGCGAGACGGGGTCGACGACGTAGTTGCTGAACTCCATGTTGGCGTACGTCAGGCAGGCAGAGACGGCGGCGAAGTACGCCGTGACACCATCTCGGCCGCGGAAGTCCCGGCCTAGGAACGGGGCCAGCTGCGGCAGGCCGTGCTCGTGGATCAGAATTGGTGAGGGGGAGAGGGATGAGAAGTGCGAGAGGATGGATGAGACGGGCTGCTTTGTGGCAAAGGCTGCGCAGAGGCTGTTGCAGCGTCGAGGAGCGCTGCGTAGGTTTTATTGTGGTCTGACATGGTAGAAGTTGTAGGAACTTGAACAGTTTCTTTTCCTCGACTCGGATAATTCGAGGATCAGGTCCAGTGAAGGTGCAAACTCGTCGGGTCTCATGGGCTGATGTGTTAGTGGGCGTACGGGTTACGGGTTAGGGGAGAAGAAGGGTATGGGGAAGTGGACCCAGTAGCGACAGACAGACGCCGCAGCCCACTGTTTGCCTGCCACGGCATGTGTTTCCCTAGTCCGCATGACTGGCTGCCTGCCTGCCGGCTGCCTAGACTCGACGCACACTCACCGTCCGTCCCCGTCCTCTCTTGGTCCTCGCCAGCTTTGAGCCGAACGTCATCTTGACATCTCCCCCCCCCCTTCAAAACCTAAGCTCAGACGGGCAACACCCAAGTGACGACTTCTGCTGCTCCGAGCACGCAACCCCACGAACTCATGAAAATGGTACCTTGCATATCCCCCCCCTTTCGCGCAGAATCCCTCGAGTTGCGGTTTTGGGTCTAACAAGCGGTCCCTGCATTCCAACAGCCTTCCGATCGAACGCCGCTCCTGGCCGAGTCTTCTCCGCACGTTTCGGACCAGTCCGAACAGCGCGCCGAAGAGGCTGAAGATGCCGCCCTCTACAACACCGCCCTCCCAGATGCTCCGCGGTCCTCGAGGCTGCGCGAGCTGGCCCTGTTCTCATGGGCCGTCCTGGCCACGGCCGCCGTCATTGTGCTGGCCGTAGTGCTACAGCACCGCAACGCGACAACGAGCCCGTCCTCCCTCTCCTCCGCCGCCGCCAGCAAGCCGTCTACCGGCAAGCGCAACCTGGTCTTCATGGTCTCCGATGGCATGGGCCCGGCCTCTCTCTCCCTTACACGCTCGTTCCGGCAGCTGGTGGACCATCTCCCTATCGATGACACGCTGACGCTTGACCGCCACTTCTGGGGCACCTCGCGCACGCGGTCAAGCTCCAGCCTCGTGACTGACTCGGCCGCCGGCGCTACTGCCTTCTCGTGCGGCCGCAAGAGCTACAATGGCGCCATCTCGATGCTCCCCGACTTCTCACCCTGCGGCACCGTGCTCGAAGCCGCCAAACGCGCCGGTTATCACACCGGGCTGGTGGTGACGACCGATATCACCGATGCGACACCGGCTTGCTTTGCCTCCCACGTCCTGCTCCGTGAGCAAGAAGACGAGATTGCCCTGCAGGAAATTGGCGAGGGCGTGCTGGGCCGGACCGTCGATCTCATGCTCGGTGGTGGAAGATGCCACTTCTTGCCGAACACATCGGCGGGCAGCTGTCGCATGGACGATGTCGACGTCACCAAGATTGCCCAGGAGAAGCATGGTTGGACGTATGCCCACGACCGTCCTGGATTCGACGCCCTGGCCCTTGGCAAGAACGTCTCGCTCCCGATGCTCGGTTTGTTCGCCTACGCCGATGTGCCGTTCGAGATCGACCGCCGCAACATGGCCGATGTGTATCCCAGCTTGAGCGAGATGGCCATCACCGCTCTGACTGCGCTGGAAGAGGCCACCAAGGACAGCGACAAGGGGTTCTTCCTCATGATTGAAGGAAGCAGGATCGACCACGCCGGCCATATCAACGACCCCGGTGCTCAAGTCCGTGAGGTTCTCGAGTACGACAAGGCATTCAAGGCCGTGCTCGATTTCCTCGACAAGTCTGGCACCGAAGGCATCCTAGTAGCCACGAGCGATCACGAGACCGGCGGCCTTGCTACTGCATGGCGTAAGCGCTCTCCTATCCCACCATCCCACCCGCACCAGTATCTAACACCCCTCTTAGAAGCCCCCGACGAACTCCCCGTCTACAACTGGCACCCGCAGATCCTCGCCAAAGCCAACGCCTCGTCCGAGCACCTGGCTCGCCTCCTGCACCGCCGCATCGCCACCACCCCGGAGCCCATCGAGTCTCTCCGGAAATGGATCCACTCGGAGCTCGTCGTCAAACACCTCGGCATCACGAACGCACAGGAGACGGAAATCAACGCACTCGCGTCCCGCCCGCTGCACGCCATGACGTCGTTTGCGCGCCTGATCAGCCAGCGCGCCAGAGTGGGTTGGAGCACCCACGGCCACAGCGCCGTCGACGTCAACGTGTACTGCTCTGGCGGCGACGGCGCCGAGAAAATCCGGGGGAACGTGGAGAATACCCAGATCGGCGAGTTCTTGAGGGGTTACCTTGGTGTCGATGTCGACGGCGTCACGAAGGAGTTGAGAGAGGGCATGGTGCGGGTTTCGCAGGCGGACGGGGCAAGGGTCACGGGGGGTTTTGATTACGAGAGTATGCATCCTGCTGAGTGGATGGTGGAGGGTTGATGGCTATGTCATGATGGGGTTGTTTTGTGATGGGTTTGTGGTTACGCGATGCGTGCATCGGATGGATACATGACGTTTGGGGCTTTTTTTTTCTTTCTTCTTTTTGGGCATGTTGGTTTGGGCGTTTCTGTGTGTTGGTCTGTTTGTCTGTGTGGCATTTTTAGTTACTGTTTGTCCTTGTTTTGGTTTCTGCGGGCTTGTCGTGGGCGAGGAGGGGAAGATTGCATAGTCATTCTCGGTTCGCATGGACGGTATAGATTTGAGCATATTGTTTTCCGATTCTGTTTGGTTATCAGGGTTGTTGCATTTTGCTTGACTGGTTCTGCTGTGTGGAGTTCTATCTCAACACATTGTACAGGATAGCCCGTATGCTTGAATAGCGATCGTTCCGTGTTTCTTTTTTCATGATCGGCTCGTTTTAATTACTTTGATATGGTGAGGGTGGCTCTTGAATTTGATTATATGCAATACCCCCCGTGGTTATCAAGGTAATACTGTGAAACTTGCTGTAGTTGAGATATGGAAGATCGAAGCGCTGCTCATTTTGTGACAGGATGTTGCGAATATGTACGGTTGAATAGAAATGTAGGCGATGAATCAATCACTGCACCGGATCCTGTGTCTTTTGCACCCTTCGACGTGTTAGACCAAGGCTAAAGACAGTATTCTGATCAAAGCACGGGGTTGTATTCCTTTCGAATGGTTCACCACATGGTTAAAGGGGATTGTTCGAGAGGTTGCCAATTGTGGTAACTCTTCGCGACATAACTCTCAGGCATCTAACAAATGCAAAAGGTACCTAGTTCAAGCCAATGGAACCAACAGCTAAGAGAAACAAAATGTGCCGATAAGCGAAGAGGGAATTAAAGACGTGGGAAATTCAAACAACAAAAGAAAGGGCTATAGAAAAATGATAGGAAATAGAAGAATAATGAAAGTGCGGGAATGATGCTCTGCGAGGCGGGGACTGGGTGGGGCTGATAAATATGCGCACGGGGCCAGTACTTCATCAAACAAGGAATGGTCTTATAGTGTAGCGGTTATCACATCGGATTCTGAAATCCCCTTCCTCACAGAAGGATCAACCACTTCCGGTAACCCCGGTTCGATTCCGGGTAGGACCTTGATCTTTTGCCTTGTCCCTCGTCTTCTTTTTTTCTTTTCTTCGTGTTTGTTTGGTCGTTCCTTATTGATTTAACCGTCTTCTAGTCTCTTGTCCATGTTTTTCCTTCTAGTTTGTCTTGCGTACATGATGTGATTGATCATTGCATGGGCTGCTTGCTCTGTGTGCCTTTTTTGTCGGTGGGGCGTCTTGGTGTTGTTGATCCGGTGCAGGAGAGTGCAACAGAGGCAGGGTTTCGTATCATTGTTCTTAAATTCACACATGAAATATGAAGTACGAGATAGCCGGTTGATGCACATGACAATTATTTCAACTAATGAGAAATGGGTTTTTGTTTTGTTCGCCCTCTCTCCGTATTTTCCCTACGTAGTAATGAAGCCGAAGAACCGATTTACCCGCTCTGCTTTCACCAGACATGCACAAGCTTGCTTCCTTTTTCTTTTTGCTAAAAGATTGCAGTGTAAAAACCACCCTGCGGCCCGACCATCTCAAGCTAACCTAACTATTCACTCCTCGGAGCTCGCCAGCACCGCCTTGATCATGGCATTACCAACCTCCTTGGCGGCCTCGAAGCGGTCCTCAAAGAAGCGCTGGGTGACCTCGAAGCGCTCCCGCCAGGTGTCGAACTGGCGCAGCGAGACGCACTCGGCCCAGCCGCAGGCGGCGATGGTGAACTGCAGGTCGTCGCGGCGGAAGGTGTTGTCGTCGACGCCGACGCGGATGCACTCGTCGAGCAGGCCCGGGGTGCGGAACAGGTGCTCGGTGACGCCGAGCCACAGGCGGAACAGCGGGGTGGAGCAGATCATGTGGTCGAAGGGGACGATGCCGAGGGCGCTCCAGCAGTCGACCATGGCCAGCAGGCTGAGGTGGTTGTTGGGCTTCTTGCTGTTGGCGGCCGACGGCGGCTGGGCCTTGCTGCCGCCGAGGGTGAACTGGCAGAGCACGGCCTCCTGCAGCAGCGGCTTGGTCGCCCACTTGGGGCTGCCCTCGGCGCCAAACACTTTCTCCTTGGCGGCGTAGACGCGGTCGCGCAGCTCGTCGTGCCGGCCCTCGAGCATGAGGTAGTAGAGCTCCGTGGTCGAGCGGGCGAACTGGTTGATCTGCTTGTGCGCCTCGGGGTTCAGGATGGCCAGCCCGGCGTAGACGTGCCACTTCTGCGCGTAGATGCGCAGCATCAGGTTGATCTTGACGTTCTCGATGCCGCCCACGTAGCGCGCGCCCTCCCACGGAAACTGCGTCGTGGCGTGCCAGGCCTTGCCCATGCTGAGGAAGGCCGCGTGCGTGACGGCCTGCGTGTCGGCCGTGATGCGGTCGTGCTCGCGCGCCGTCAGGTGCACCACCTTGGACTTGAGGCACCGGAAGACGGCCTCGACCTTGGCCAGCGACTCGTCCGACGCCCGGTGCTTGATGAGCACCAGCGGCTGCCCGGCCGGGTCGACACCGGGCCCATGCAGCGAGTGGCACGACACGATGTCGACGTCGCTCGGGAGGTGCTCCTCGAACGCCTTGATCTCGGGATCCTTGCACGACGTCTGCCCGCCCACGATGGCGCCGAGTCTCGTTGCTGCAGAGCGCACAGGTTAAACACCGCCATGGCAACAACAGCAGTGACAAACGTCTACGGGGACGGGAGAGAGAGAGAGAGAGAGGGAGAGGAAGGCTTCATCATCAGACAGGAACACACACAAGGACCAAACTGGGCGACAACACGGCCAATGGATGCCGCTTCAACGCTATAGATAATGTAGTTGCTGGCGCGCGACACGAGGTGCCCGTTACGGAGAATTTGCACATTGCTCTAGAAGACTCGTTGCTCAGCACTGGTCCGCTGCAGCTGCGGGGATCAGGTTGACATCGCCACCGTACATTTTGCGCAAACTCGTCTACCAGCCCCTCGTACTTGTCTTCCTTGTCACAGGCCATGATCCTGACGACATGGTTAGCCGGTCAGTCCCCTCTGCGCTGCTGCCGCCGCTGCTGCCAATTTGCAAGCTGGCATGCGTGTATATATAAAGATCTGAGAGACTCAAAGTCAGCGAGACATTCCAAGTAAAGCTGGCAAAATGAGGAGGTATTGTGGTGTAGGTTCAGACAAAATTTTAAAGGTAGCTGAGATTTTTCATCATGGAAAGCCCAGGGCACCGACCGGGCCAGAAAGGCTGATCGATCAGTGCCATGGGCGATACTCTAGCCAAATGCACTCAAGTCATCATATTGGGGGGGAGGGTGTGTGTGTGTTGTGTATGTGTTTGAGGGAGAGGAGGAAGTAAGCTTACCAAACAAGGCACATCACAATGTGTGGTGTTTGCCTGAGGTTAGTTTGTCGAGGCCAGCTCGATGTCGGAGCAGCCAGAGGTGCAGGTGCGTGCGAGGAAAAAAAGATTTTACCTCCATCCTGCGTCGCTGAGCCGCCGGGCGTACATCTTGCCCATGTCGCCCATGCCGATCAGGCCAACCACAAAGTTGGCCATCTCGGGAGGGACGGCAGTAGTCCGTGATTCCGACGCCATTTTCGTTGTGTGCTCAGTGAAGCGCGCAAGGACTGCGAAGTTTGTTTCTTGCAAAAGGTTACTCCGAGGCCGAGATATTTCACATCTCGCGTGGCATTTGGATACCAGTGCTGCTGCTGCTGGTACAGTCGGAAAAAAGACGCCAGTCACACTTCCCTCGGTGGTGGTCTGCGAGGGAAGGGGAAGACTCTTGGAAGCGATTGTGAATGAGGAACGAAGAAAGAAAAAGATTTGGTGGAAGCCGGAAGTTGAGATTTTATGCAGGTTGAATTCGGCCCGCCCCACTTCGAATTAAGCCAATCAGACCGCCTCCTTCTGCAGAGAGCTAAAGCGGAGCTCTACGGAATAGCAAAGCCCACTTGGCGGGGCAGCCAGGGTTCTCGCCTGGGAAGCTTGGCATTCAATTACATAAACTCCAACACCATCAGGAGACCACGTCGAAAACAGAGCAACCAAAAGACAATCCTTTTCTTTTCTGTCCATGAAGAAGAATAAAACGAAAACGAAATGATACTCCTATTTGCCCTCGGCTCCAACGGCACAGGCCAACTCGGCATCGGGCACAAGGAAGACGTCTCGGTGCCCAAACAAGTCCTCTTCTCATCGGACCTCGCATCCCCCATCGCCTCCATCTCCGCCGGCGGGAACCACACGCTCCTCCTGACCCGCAGCGGCGCCCTCTTCAGCACCGGCGACCCAGACGCCGGCGCCCGCGGCAAGATCACTCCGGAACAGAGATCCCTGCCCCCACAGCTCCACCCCGTAGACCTTCCCCCCTCAGAACAAGACACCCAGCCCTTCAAGGTCGGCCTCGCCGCCGCGACCTGGACAGCCTCGATCATCACGCGCCTTAATCCGGACACCAACAAGTCCACGGCGGTGTACACCTTCGGCTCCGGGACCAAGGGCGAGCTGGGGCTAGGCGACTTCATCTTCCGGACCGTGACGCCGTCCGTGATTCCCGACTTCCCGCCGGCAGGCACCGACATCGTGGACCTGGCCGCGTGCATGAGCCACGTTGTCGCTGTACTGAGCAACGGCGACGTCTGGGGCTGGGGCAGCGGGCGCAAGGGCCAGCTCGGCGCCCCCGAGGAAGTCGTCCAGGCGCCGCGGAGGATCGAGGGGCTGGGGTTCAGGGTCGTCAGGGCTGTCTGCGGAACAGAGTTTACTTGTCTCTTTGGCGCGGCCGAGATCGGGGAGATTGCGATGCTGGGGTCCGATAAGTGGGAGATCAAGACAAAGGCACCTAGTAATGTGGCCAGGTGGAAGGAGGTTGGGGCGAGTTGGGGGGATGTGTATGTCTTGAAAGAGGATGGGAGCCTGTTGAGCTGGGGGCGTGATGATCATGGCCAGATCGCGCCGGCGGGTCTTTCAAAGACGAAGCACATTGCTGTTGGGAGCGAGCATGCACTGGCGCTGGGCGAGGACGGCGATGTCGTTGCCTGGGGCTGGGGCGAGCATGGCAACTGCGGGCCGATTGGGAATGCATCCGAGAATGGAAAGGGCCAGCAGAATGTCATTGCGTCCTCGAGGTTCGTCCCCCCCGGAGCTAAAATCATTACCATTGGTGCTGGGTGCGCAACCAGCTGGGTTGCTATTGAGATGCCTACCGAGGATACATGATATACACCGTCTGTCGCAAGTTTATGAAGAAACTAGCAAAGCAGAGCAAAACCCAACGCCTCGAGTCCCGACTCAAGATGCCCACACAACGCTTCCCCTAAAACGACGGCCATACTCGGCTTCAAGAACCGAAGAGACCGAAACGGCGAACCTGCGCTTTTAGTCAGCCTAGGCAACGAAATTTGGGAAAGGAGCTGAGGTTTCAGGTATACCTCACTAAGCAGCTGAGTTGGCTCAAGTCCTGATGGCAGGTCGGGCTCTGTGGTTTGCGCCTGCGTCTCAACTGGTTTGGGTAGGAAACTACTGAGGCGAACTCCCGACGGGTTCTGATCGCGGCTGTTAGTGTGCTGCTCGAATATGGAGAGGGCTGGGCTTTATCAATACCGGTTCACCAGTGGAATTCCATTGCAATCTGTCAATTGGCTCTTCCTCTTCCTCGTCGTCATCGTTGAGGGGCTCCCATTGGTCGTCCTCGTCCGCCTGGGGCACGAACAGCGAATCCGAGTCGGCAGTTGCCGGAGGCGCTGGCGGGGGCGGGGGCGGGGGCGGCATCGGCTGTGGACGGATCTCGAATTGTGACTGACGAGGCCGTGGAGCTGGTTTGTGCTGGGTCGGGTTTGGTTTAGGGGGGACTGCCTGAGGTACAGAGCTGCCCCGGTGAGATGCTGCATCGAGTGGCTGCCTCGCGGACTTTGCTGCATTCTGCCGGGGGGTTTTGTGCTTCAGCGCACTGGCGTCCTTTTCGCCAACAGTCATCAAGATGAATTCGCAGAGGACCCCGTCCCCGCCGTAGGAGAGCTTCATGGGGCGTCCCGGGTCGGAATAGAATGTAGCCAGTTCTCCGCCAGTTATCTGGGCATGTTGGAGG